TATACTACGTGTAAACTAAAATATGTAAATAATAAATAAAAACATAACCGTTCCGATACCTGTGATCACCCTCTGTATATTTACATTTAAAGAGATAAATACTTTGGTAAGGTAGTTTAAAGAAATAATAAATGAAATTAAAGAATATTCTAAAATAAAAAGAGATAACAAAATAGATACAGTAGATACAGTAAGTGAAGGTACAATAGTAAATTAATAATACAGAAATTTTAGAACAAAAAGAGATGATTTCAGGATTAAATGCTAGTGAATTTGTACAAGAGTGAATGAAATGTTAAACAAAGATTAATTGCAACAGTAGATAGACATAGCTAATATTCAGTTATATTCAGTATATTAATATTGTTTTAAAATTTATTTTTGATATTAGTTAGATATAAATTGTATAAAGCAAGCTAGCATTTACTTATGTTTCTTTATCAATATATATCTTGTTATATAGAATGGATCGGATAATGTTTCAACACATTGTCAATTCCTACATTGCAAATGCTGCCGATTCGGGGGAAGCAATCAGAGTGAAAATCAAGGCTTAGATTCGCTTCGGTCGCCACCGACGTTTTATCCAATTGGGAGAAATACGTCGCAGGGCTTATAATCTCTGGGTGTACTTTATTATCAGAGTTGAGACTACTACTCATCTTCCCTACCACTCCCTTCATATTCCTTAAATAATATCAATATTCTCACTCATTGGCTTGCATTGCACGAAAGATTTTCATTATTCACATCTTAAGATCTGTCACTGACAATCTTGTCAATAAGTAGTTTTTTGGTTTATCATTCGAGATTGGGATGGTATTAGCAACATTTGTTTTCTCCTTAGATATAGGCGTGTCATTATCCTCTTTCTTATACATACGATAAATTTGTCTTCTTTCAGTCGGCATCTTCGGTTCGCTCGTAGCGAAGGTAGCATATAAGTAGTACTTTCAACTCATTTCTCGCATTAGATTTTTTATTCTTGAACACGATCATCCAATATCTTTGTCTTATTTGCTTTTCTTTCAGCATCAGCTTCAAGATCAATAAACTGAGGAGAAGGGTAAGAATGAATCAGAAGAGTGACATGTGTCAATAAAAGAAGCAATCAAGACGGCGCAGTAATGAGGGAACAGCTTACACCTTGCAATAAGGGTAAGAAGAGATGGATGGGAAGAATGACCATTTTATTACAAATATTAGTGATGAACTCAACGCTGAACTACACTCTGACGATTCAGACTCTATAGAAGTTATCCTGATGTAGAGAACTACTAATGCCACACAAGAAAGAACAATCGAGAATGAAAAAAATATTAGTAAGACTAGAACAGATGAGGGAATGGGAGGTCAACCTGAACAAATAAAAGAAGCGTTAGTAAAAGAACAAGATGTCGCGTCAGTAGAAGAACCACCAGACACGTGATGATTACCGGATCGTAGTGGATAAAGGAGAGAAAATGGAAGACGATGAAAGCACGAAGGACAAATAAATACTGAGAATGGACAGGATGTTATAGGAGCTTCCGGAAGAATGATCAAGGGCTAGGGTGCCCAGAGGTGACATAACGTGCTGTCGACACCGATTATGATACCTCAATTAAGCGAAAGGAGAACAAGAACAGTCAGGATGAACCAGGAAGAGAAACCCGATCTTTGTAATTACTTGGAAAGTGCATGCGCTGGGTGATGAAATATTCAGGCTACGGGAGTGATGAATGCGTTTCTATGCGAGTTCAAAGGAAAGTTTATGGTGACATATTCGGGTGTTTTCGTAAAACTAGCACTTCGCATGATAATAATGATATACAGTATAGACAATTTGGATAAAGGATCTAGTAAAGAACTCTAATCGAGCATGAGAACATGGCTGAGAATACCATTCAGAATTGTAGCGATGATGTGATGCACCCTCAAGAGCAACGGTTATATCTCGACTGATTAGGATGTATATAAAACGTCTACGACCACAAGGTAATTCTGCAAATTGGAAGATACGATTATTGAACTTAGCAACTTATTCAGGATGTGTCAACAACAGGCAAATTTACACTGTCAAAAGACAAATAAAAAGTTTACATTCTATATGAATCTCGCTGCTATGGAATGCTATCACCTTGACAGGGAGAATAGACAATGATATCATCAGTGTAACTTGGAGTGGGCGAGCAAAAGGTTCATGGCGAATGAACTAACCTGTAGAAGTACTTCGAATATGAACATATCACGTGATGCAAGACGAGAAGTTGGAGAAGACAATCTAAATAGGAGCCACGAAGCTACAACAACTAGCATGTTCCACAAGGGAGAATTAATAGAAGCGACACCATAAGAAAGTTGATATTGGTGACCTAAATAGAACGAAATGCAAGTCAATAACGGTAATGATAAAAATGGTAAAACATTATTACAAGCAAAAGTTTCTTCATTTCGCGGGTTATAGATTCAAAATGGTTTTGCTTGATCCGGAGATACTCCTGGTAGTTGTCATTTGGAGTATGTACCTTTCAGGGTTGATTAAAACACCCAGATAATTCGTTCCTCAGTTAATTTATTACTACTTGGAGTGCCCCGAGAACTGTGAACCGGAAGCTTGGGTTTGTGTTTGTACGCGGAGCATACAAAATAAACAGTCAACTCTTGATACTGTATACTGTACCTGTGAAACTAATTTCCCATAAGAATTGCCGCAATTAGTTCGAGTTAAATCAAATACGGAAATATAAATTTTAATTTAACTTTTTTTCATTGATAATAAAATCCAAACTTTATTTCCGCAAAAAAAATGGTTGTATTGTATAACGGTGTTAATTCAAACACCATGCTGTAAAACTTGATTTTACTGATTGATAATACATCACATCTGTCAAACAACTATTATAAAAGAAGTTGGCAACAGTTCATCTAAAGAGACAAAAAAAAATTCCTACCCGATAATTTTCGGAAAGAATCATGAACCGAAATTTTATTTTGGGTTTAATTTTATTGGCTACACTTTCCGTGCTTAATGCAGCCACCACTTTTGAAGAATGTAATGTATTTTCGGATGAAGCTCCAATTAATGTCACAATTTCACCTGATCCTTTCATTCTTGGTGAACCCATTACATTTACCGTTTTCGGAAAACTAACTGTAGACATCACTACTCAGACTGTAGTTAACATTTCATTCAATGATCACTTTGGGAGTCACATATCCTTATTCTCGTTTCCAATTTGCAATGAAAATACTAAATGTCCAATTCTAGCTAGAAATGAATTTAGTATGGTAGCAACAGTTAATGTACCGGCGTCACTCCCTTCTAAATATATTATTTTAGTTCGTGTCCTAAATTCTACTCAATTGTTCGTAGAAAATATAGATAAACCCTATTCTCTTGGATGTGCTATCTATTATTCCTTTATAACCTCCTCTACTGCTGGACCAAGTAAAACGTCAAGTGGTTCTTCTACTACTGCTATAACGAAAACCTCTGGGAGAGAGAAAATTGAATGGAGTAGCAGATTAAATTTAAGTCTTGGATTATGGTGGATTATCTGGATTTTTGGAAGTTTGTTTTATCATGACATTCAAGTTGTTAATTATTAAATATTAAGTTTTATAATATTTTTTAACATGTCGTTTTTTGAATATTATTTTCTTTAAATGTAATAAGATTAAACTTTTTTATGTTTCAATTACATAATTAGTAACAAAAACATTTTTTTCAATAAATAATGCTTAAATAAATTTTTGCAATCTTTTTTATTCACTCGTTACATCGAAAAAAGTTGGTTACTTAGACTTGATAATTATTTTTCTAATTTTTATTAGGTTGTCTCAAAAAGGACACTGTGTATAAAAATTTTCTTATAGAAAATTAACCTGTGCCCGGAAATTGTAATTTCAGAATTGTTGAAATTGATGGATTAAATGTGATATAATTCAATCTAACTAATTACAAAAAAATTTTAATGAGAATCGATATCACAGATGAAATTTCTTATATCGAGAGTTGACCGTAGAAATGGATGAATTGGGATCAGGTCACGTGATGAGTCGCGATGCATCAGATATGCCTCACGAAGTTAGAATAGTCTGGGTAAATTTTCATGACGCGACGATAGATTATCATACACGTCACAGCTGATATAAATAGAAGCAAGACAGAATAGTTAGTAGAATAGTAAAAATATCTTGTATCTGATATCCATTTGTACTGGCATTACGATAATTAATAAAATTGCCTTATTTGTAATTGTCATTCCAAGAGAATCCAGTGGACCCACATGAGAGACTTGCAATGCAAAATTAAGAAATTGGGTAAATAAAAGAAGTTGTTAACAAGTGTCTTTGGTATCGTAAGTGAAACCCTACTTACTAGCATAAGGTGAGCTAGTTCCGGATTAGCGTCAGAATCACCAGGAAGACTTATTTTTTTTAGCCTTACCTACGAAACATATTTCTTGTATTTTTTTTTTGGCTTCGCCTACAAAACACGCACTACCCATATTTTTTTGTCTTGTTACCTACTCTTGTTTAGTCGGTTCCGCCTAAAAACACGTAACGTTAATTTCTTTTCGGCTTCACCTATAAAAAACAAAGTTCGTGTTTAGTCGGATCCATCTATTAAGTCACTTTGCTCATATTTTGGTCGGCTCCACCTACGAAACATATTTTAAATATTTAATCTGCTTTCTTAACCTATGAAACGCGTACAGTGCATATTTTTTCGGCTTCACCTACAAAACGCACTGGCATATTCTCCTCACAAAAACACACTAATACGTTCTGTTGACCTTTTCCATCTTTTTTTGGTTTATCTATCTCATGCAGTAAGAGAATGAATTAAAAAAATTTTTCTAAAATAACGATATGGCGCGTACGGAATCGTGTCAATTGTGACTGGTTGAAATTATCAAAAATGACATCATTATGTAATCTATATTACAAAGCTGTCCGTTTTAAGAAATTTGATTGATTTGTATTACTACGACGTCAGTAGTGAACATTATTAAACATACAGTATCATTACGTTAACACAGGTAGCATTAAGACTAAACTTATATCAATTCTCGACATTAAACTTCACCAAAGTTGAAAGCGGAGAAACAAATTGAAAAAAAAATTACATATGTTGCAGTACGTTGTTTGGCAGTATCTTCAATTTTCGAAACCGTCAATATTAAGAGATGATTGAAAATGCACAAGCAGCATCTAAATTCAAGAAGCAACTTGGTCAAAATCAGTATGTCCCATACGAAATATTAATCATCTGAGTTATTATAATCTAAGCAAACAAAGAGTCGTTAAATTACAGTATATCTAAACTACACATACAGTACATCATTAAAAAATAAATAGTGACATAGCAACCCGAGTTTTTATTTTCTAATTCCGCAGAAATGCCATTATAAAAATAAGAAAATGTATCTATCAGGCTCCGAAACAATAAAATAACGTCAAGTTATTTAAATTGATTTATTTCAAAGTTAGAATCCGATGCGATCAATTCACTTATTTACCATATTTTTTCATAATAAAAGTTAAAGAAGTATTGAATATTTACATTGACATAAACTTCCTACCATCCTTAAAAATCTAAGACATCAAATTATAAACGGAACCGAACGTTTTTAGATTGTAGTCAACTCTAATTTCTTGTATGTATCAACAAAAAATAAAGTTAAAATTAAAATATAAGAGACATTTCAC